GTTAATATTCTTCTACACTGCTCATATGCAATAATCACTTTTTTTTTTAATAATATATTTAGTCTTACTACTGGCTGATACCTTCCTTACTCTATATATTCACATGCCTTGGTGTGACAGGTGAAAGGTAAATGTCTGCCTGATGAGTCTGAGCTGCAGACATCAGTCAGACACGCAGAAAGAGCAGCAGTCAGGAACCTGAAGGTCAGACACGTATATATTTATATCCCATCAATCCTTATCCTTCTGTCAGATAGATATTCCACACACAGACTCAAACTGACCGGTATAAAAAGGTTGGATCATGTCGTCTTGGTTTGTCACAGAGTCACGCCTGCAAGTTAATCCTTAGAGCTGAGAAAACGATGAAGAGAAACGAGTAGACTTGCATATTAAATAACAAGACGAGCACACGTTATGAAATAATATGAACAAATATGCAAAAACAAATAAGTACACCATGGGAAAACAGTAGGAGCAGTATCGTAAAAATGTAAGGACATAAACAAGTGGTGAAGGAGCCGGTAACGCCGAGACATTTTAAAGAAACAAATCGTAAATTGTATATTAAGTTATATGAGCAGCCACCGTACACAACTGTTCTTGAATTTCAAGGCAGTGTGAGTGTGCACAAAGTAGACTAAAGTAGGCAGTTTTTTGGGCATCATTTGGGAAATAATCCATAGTTACTTTTCAGAATATATACCGTAGTTTTCGGACTATAAGCAGCAGCGGCATACCACTCTCGGTTCCACTTTTACTTTTGCGCGCTACCTGTCTCACTCTTTTCCGGCCTCCAGCTTTTCCTGCTGGAACCCGCCGCTTAAAGGTGGGGGTCCGCGGACCGGCCATAGAGCCCATAGAGTTAAAGGTGTTGGCCGTTAGCTGTAAAAATCCATAGATTAGCCGCACCGTTATATAAGCCGCAGCGTCGAAAAATAGGGAAAAAGGCGCGGCTTATAGTCCGAAAATTACGGTAGTCATTCAAGTGGACGCCAATGGTAGGCGGTGTTCTGTTAAAGTGGACCTATCATGCTATATTTGAATAATATAGTGTAGGACCATACCTATATAAAGGCATATTTATACTTTTTATTTTTCAAAATACCAAACAGATCATGCATTTTAGCCATTCCTCATTTCGCTCAATTTAACACTGCCTTTCACACTCGGATTCTGTGAGAACAGCACCATCTGGTGGCNGACTGCCTGCTTATCAAAGGACACCTAAACATTAAGCGTTGCTTGGCAACGGCGTGTGTCCGCAAAGTATAGCGCAGCATTATGCGCTATGTTTATATGAGGGGTCAAAAATCCCATGCTCATAAAATGCTCATATATTTTTTCTCTTCATTCCCCACGCCCCAAAATACATAAATATACCAATTTAAGGAAACGTAAGGAAGTTCATATCTTAAACTGCACTGTAACTTTTATTATCTTTGCTTTTTATCTTTGCTTTTAAAATGTCATTTTATAATATGTTTCTTAACGCTCTTAATGTCTTTCATTTTTGTAAAGCACTTTGAATTGCCTTGTGTTGAAAGGTGCTATATAAATAAACTTGCCTTGCCTAAATCGGTCAGATTTGACCCGAACACAACAGGAGGGTTAAACCAGTGATGAAATGTAACTCAGTACTTTTACTTAAAGTGGACCTATCATGCTATATTTGAATAATATAGTGTAGGACCATACCTATATAAAGGCATATTTATACTTTTTATTTTTCAAAATACCAAACAGATCATCCATTTTAGCCATTCCTCATTTTGCTCAATTTAACACAGTCTCTGCATCATGGGCTGATTCTGAGAGAACAGCACCATCTACAGGCCTGGCATATGTACTACGGCGTCTCCAGCGCTTTCCAACGGCTGTCTCCTCCTGATTGGTGGAGTTGGCCCAATAGCCGTAGCGCCACTTCTGTGACGTCATAGAAGTGTTCAAATCTGGATCAGTCTGTATCAGATCCGTTGCAGCCCCTTTTTAAGAGATTTGGGTATGGAGGAAAATAGAGAGGGTTGTGTTTTCTGACACTTGGTGAGTTCCCTGGAACACCGGGGACACATGTTCATGTAGAAAAGACGTACACAAGTGCATTTTGCATGATAGGTCCCCTTTAAGGGTTTGTGAGGCCTTCTGAGATAACTGTGCAACTATTATTATGAAGTAAGTCAAATGTATTTATAAAGCAAAAAATAAATAAATATACATAGTAAGCTATATAAGTAATAAACGAGAGTCTTTTTGTGTGAAATCATCGTTTTAAAAGTACAGTTGTAATCAATGAACGTCTGTCTTCTGACTCTTCATTTACTGCACTGATGAGGTCGCCTGTTTGCTTTTAAGTCTCTCCAATATCCCCAACTTCATACCATAGTTTTTATCTTTTTACAGATTATATTTAATGCCAATGGTGTTCCTTAATCCTGAGTTTAAGGACAAGCTTTGAGGGGGATAAAAACATGTTAATGCATGGTTTAAAACACCAAGGACCTCCAGGATGCAGTGAGGAAGATGAGAACACCTAGCAGCAGATCCACTGTATATTCCTGCTTTTTTTTTTAAAATCTGTCAAAAGCAGCCGGTCTTTGATTCAAAAAGCAGACGATCTGACAGGTTCGTGAGGAGAGAATCTGCAGGAGAAGAGCGTCAGAGTTTCAGTGTTTCATGGAGAGACAGCTGCACTTCACTCGAGGAACATGGAGGTCAATATCCACCTGTCTCTCATCCACCACCACCTCCTCTCCTGTGGGTTAGGAGCAGCAGTGGAGTGAAACATGCAGAATCCTCCATGTTGGATCAATCAATAGGCCGGATGCATGATTGATTTCACACAACCATTAACTACAGGCATCTTCTTTCCCCACGTTAGTCTGCAGTGTGAACCTGGAAATGTTCAGTACTCCAAGGTTTAATCATAGAAATGTATAGTAGGGGTTTTGCAGGGGTTGATTAGCATTAATTAGCATACAGTATGCAGACAGTAGAAAATAGTGCCTGGGCTGATTTGGACAAGATTGGTGTAATTGTTGAGGACGTTGAATCAGTTTCTGACATTTCTAGGATCCAAAATGGGAGTTTTGAGCCCCTTAAAACGTTAAAATCGACCCAAAATGTGCCCGCTTTCTGGTAAAAACTGCCATTTTAGATGCTGGAAATGTTCAGATATTGATTCCTCATCCTCAATAACCTCCAAAGCCTGTCCAAAATAATCAAAATCGGCCAAACCATTTAAAAAACATTCTCTGCATGCTAATTAATGCAACTTATGCTCATTGTGGACATTTCCCAAGATCTGTGAGTTGGCATCCGGAAGTTTCTATGTTCTTGGGACCCGTACTATGAGAAAACTTTGAAATACTCAACATCACAATACGACTCTATGATCTGCAAACAGACTGCAATGTTTCAATATTAACGAACTGTCAGTAGGCCTCACATTTATCCCTCCATCCTTGAAGCGTCCACAGAGGTAAGCTCCTTTGATATACTTTATTAATCCCCGTGGGGAAATTGTTTCTCTGCATTTTACCCATCATAGTGTTAGGAGCAGTGTGCTGCCATTTTGAACGGCGCCCGGGGAGCAGTGTAGGGAACGGTGCCTTGCTCAGGGGCACCTCGGTAGCACTTGGTCTTGCCGGGACTTGAACTCGTGACCTTCCAGTTGCCAAGCCAAGTCCCTATGGACTTCGCCACCACCGCCCCGTTAATCCTTCACCTGTCCATTAATCCTTCCTGCGTCTCAGAGCCTATTAGAGCCTCAACAGCCTCAGCATCCACATCTGATGTATTTCCTACAGCTGTTGGACGCTCAGACTGAAATATCCCCTCTACTGGACGGACAGTCTGTAAATTCACTCGTGAACTCCAGAGGATAAAGCCCGTTGGTGATGCCTTGCCTTTCTTCCAGCACCAACATGAGGATGATATTTTCCAGTTTTAGCCACATTTTTTTTACTTATTACACGTTAATGGAAACCCACATTTCTTCTATTCAGGTCAAAATGAAAGGAAATGTTTTCAATACGTTGGTTGACGACTGATTGTCCTGCATGACTTTCTTAAACCTGCTAAAAGATCTGCGTTTTAGCAACGTTTAGGTAAGCATGTTAGCACGGTTTAGCATTTAGCTTAAAGCACAATACATTGGTAGCACGGTTGTAGGACTCTTATTCTGTGTTCACACAAAGGGAAATCATTTGTGCAAGTTTGAAAGCGGCTAAGCTAACATTTCAATTAGTCAAATGCGTTGTTTAAAGGTAGGGTATGTAATTCACTTCAGAAACACTTTTTGTTATATTCCATGGAATGCTCTTAACGTCCTGATCGCAATGAATATCTGAATTCCTTTGACAAAAGATACATAAAAAAATATCATCAGTGGAAGCCGTAGTTCTGTAAAAAGTACGACCAATCATCTGAGCCGGCTAAAGTAACTGGATGGCCTACCTGCCTGTCAGCCTTCCATCTGTGCACAAACTTATCTCGTGCCCTCATTGGTCATGTGCGCGTTCGTGTGTGTTGGAGGAGGGGCTCTGTCAGGAAGTGGCAGATTTGTTCTGGCTGTGTATTTTCAAATTCTATTGCACTCGAGCTGGTTTCTCCAAAATGACCTACCCCACCTTTTACTTTATTATATACAGTATATATATATTTTTTTCTTTTGTTGTTTTGTTTCAACCATTTTACTCTGTAGCACTTTGAGTTTTGTTACTCAAATAAAAAGTGCGCTAAATAAGTATGTAAATTTGTATTTCCACATCTATATATATATTTCTTTGATGATATTTTAATTTTATTTGAGATGTTTACATTCTGGATTGTTTATTTCTAGTCTTTCAATTTCTCTTACGTACTATGCCATGTCTTTTTCTGCTGCTGCAACGCAAACATTTCCCAAATTGGGATCAATAAAGTACTTCTTATTTGATCTTATCTTAATGTCTATCACACAGAGGGCTGGGTTATATATCTATACTCATATATCAACGCGTTCATCTCCCCACCTTTCTTGAGCTGCAGCAGGATGGAGGAGTCTTGGGGTCGCTGCAGAAGTACCCTCCGTCCTGCTGGTCCCAGAACAGCACGTCCTGTCTGAGCTGTAGCTGCTCGGCCCACTGAAGCCACTGCGTCTGCAGCGACGCCTCGTACAGGTCCAGCAGACCTGAGACCAGGAAGGCGTAGTCGTCCAGGAAGCCGGAGATAGGAGGAGATCTGCCGGATAGAGAGGGAGGAAGGAGAGATCTGAGTTAAAAATGCACCGATAGATCAGTGACATGGGGGTACTGTTGGAGAACTAGTTTCTGTGTTATCTTTCTAATGCTTGTTAACAACGCCAGGAGGAGATCGAGCTTCCGTCAAGACAGCGTGTAAACCTGGAGGAATTGGCTTTAAAGATAGTTAGGTTAGGAATATGTGTACCAACGGGCTACAATCTGATATAAACTCTCACTACAGAATTGTTCCTCGCTTTCGTTGTAAGAAATGTATAAATGCAACAGAGACACTTCCCCCCTCACCTGTCTCTCCAGCTAACCTTTGCATTATATCTTTTCCACTTTGAGAGTCATCACTTCAGGGCGTCTCAATTTTACAATCTGTTCTCTGTGATCTGCCAACAGCCCTCTCCCCTCTCCCACAGCTCCCATGATGCACCCCTGTCTGGGTGAGTGCTGGAGGACAGGTCGAGTGTGTGAGGAGAGGATGGAAGTGAAGATGCTGAGATCAGGAGGAGAGGAAGGGGTCATATGTGGGACTGTTTTTGAGGCTGATATTATAAAGAGACGGGGGAAACAAATCTGTTCCACACACGTGTTTACATAGTTACTCTTGTTGACACATGTTTTGTTATTTTACTTATATAAAAAAAAAAAAAAAAATGTATGGATTTTTTTTTTTTTACCAAACTTCTAAATATTTTTTATTTTTAAATGTTTTTATTACAAATGTTTACTTTAACGTCCTATGTTTATGAATGATATTACTCTATTTAATTTTTTAATAAACATTTTTACTTACAGTATGTTAAATAAATACTAATGATTTAAATATTTGTATTCTATTATATTTAATTTGATCTTGTATTGAACATTTTAGTCTTACATCTTGTCTTTATATACATATGTAGTATTAGAAATATAAATAAAACTATATTCAAAACAATCTGATTTTGACTTTTTAATTAATTAGTTTATAATTGTATTTTAAAATGTTTTGTCTTATATTCTTCTTACTTTTCTTCTCTACCTCTTCCTCCCCAGTTGACTAACCCAGTGTGAATCCTCACCTGTAATTCCTCCAGGTAAACACGCTCTAAATGTGTCCTGACGGAGAGGTGGTGAAACTGAACCAGAAGCTGCAGAGAAACCTCCGGAGCGTTTTAAAAGACGAGTCTCTGTGGAAACGGGCCGGTGATTAAAATTGAATGCTTCTCTTCATGCATGTTGTGGGGCACATCTCGTTTCTTCTGCTGATTCGACGGTATGTCCCACTCACTCATTCACAGGAAGTAGGGCACGGGGCGAACAGAACGAGGACATCTGGAGGAAACGTCCGTGCAACAAGGAGCTGTGTTTGTTTACTGGATGATTTAACGTTTACACTGACGACATGCTGCCTCCTTCAGGGAGTTCACGGTACTGCAGGCTGTTTGGAGATCTCCTTTAATCAGGTTATGGGATTTAATCTTCCTCAGATATTCACTTATATTTCACAAAACACTAGCAGGACTTTTATATTCCATGTTGTCAGACTTCCCTTAATTAATATTCATTGAAATACATTGTTGTTCATAAAACATGGGAATGAGAGTAACCCTTAGCAAGTGTTTACAGCTATTTATGGACGTTAAATATCAACACGACAAGTTTGAATTACTGCTTTGAAGAAAAAGAGCTGTCAGTCCATAAAACAACAACAGGCGTCTATAATCCAATTAAAATATGTCCAGTCTTGTTTTAAATGTGCATTATGATGGAGACTAGAGGGAGAATCTAATCACTGTGCAGGTCAACCAGTTTATCAGAGAGCAGGTTTCTGCATGTTCTGTGTGTAGTGTGTAGTATGTAGTGTGTAGTATGTGTGTGTGTGTGTGTGTGTGTGTGTGTGTGTGTGTGTGTGTGTGTGTGTGTGTGTGTGTGTGGTCAAAGTAACACTGCATGTACTAAAATACAACATTTTATTTATATATTGTCAAATACACATTTTATATTTATTGTATATTAGTTTTTTTGTTTGATTTTATGTTTAGATGTAGTCGTTTGGTTCACTTGCTGTCTGTGTAACTTTATAAATAAAGTATATTATTATTTATTCTCTACATACCGTTTCCTCTGAAAAACACTGTTCAGTGGGTGTTTCTCAATGTCGAGGAAGGCTCCTCCAAAGCCACTATTTCAAGGATGCTACGTCATCGAGTCCCGCCGAAGGACTTTTCCAATGTTCAGGATGCTTGGAATTCTACCGAGGCCGGCGTCCTTCGTTGCGGGACATTTCGACGCTGCACATGTGTATCCTCCGCGGTCTTAAAATCCCCACAATGCTTTGCGCACGGACCAATTTCCAAAATCTTTGGCGGAAATCGCGCTCCATTTAAGGCGGGGCCTCTCATATGACGCACACCTGTTAGCCTGCTAGGAAGGATTCTTGCCTCGCTTCTGAAGGACCTGACTCGGAAGACGTGTCCTACCAAGGAAGCGTCCTCGACATTGAGACACACCCAGTCTCTTACATCTGTTGCAGCTCCATGTCTCCATGTCTCTTTGTACTTAAATACATCATTTTACTTTTCATATATTGTTTTTTTTATATTTATTGTTGCTGTGTGTTTGGTTTCGTTTGTGATTATGTTTTGAAAGGTGATTTATAAACCAAATCTATAACTATGTATGCTCTATACACCGTTTCCTATTAAAAAACTTCAGTCTCTTACATCTGCTGCAGCTCCATGTCTTCTCCTCTGTAGCAGGACCGGAGGACGGTCTGTCGCTCGGCGTCCCACAGGTTCTCCTTCAGGAAGTTAGCAGCCTGAGCCGCTCTCTCCAGCAGAGCCTTGTCCTCCAGGACAGCTCCAACACAGGAGTAGGCCGACAGCATCAGACCTGAGAGGAGGAGGAGGAGGAGAAGAGAG